ATACTTGTCAGCACAGCCCATCACATACCTGCTAGCATAGCTCATCAGTGTACCTGTCGTGCAGCCTGCCAGCACAACCCATCAGCGTACCTGTCAGCACAGCCCATCAGCGTACCTGTCAGCACAGCCCATCAGCGTACTTGTCAGAACAGACCATTAGCGCACCTGTCAGCACAGCTCATCAGTGTACCTTTCGTGCAGCCATCAGCATACCTGTCAGTACAGCCCTGCATTTCACTGATAATTCCCAGTGCCCTCCCTGAGATCAGCCTGGCTATGACAAAATTTTTTTCTAAAATATTTTCTGAACTTTATGTCCCTGACCAAAATATCTGTGTGGATGAATCTCTTGTCCACTTTACTGCCTGGCTGAGAATCAAGCAATACATTCCCAGTAAAAGGGCCAGGTATGAACTGAAGCTCAACAAGCTCTGTGAAAATGCCACGGGATATATGCATGCCTTTCGCATGTATGAAGGCAAAGACTCCCAGCTCCAGCCCCTGGGTGCCCAACCTACATTGGTACAAGTGAAAAAATTGTCTGAGACATGGCCTTTCCACTTTTACAAAAGGGGTATCACATCTACCTAGACAATTATTACACAAGCCTGCCCATTTTCCAACTGTACTTTGAGAAAACGATGGCCTGCGGTACCACCCGAACAAACAGGAAGGGCTTCCCACAAAATTGAGTGAACAGAAGGCTACAAAGGGGGAATCTGTAAGTCTGAGGAACGAGGAAGTGCAGGTCATGAAATGGAGGGATAGGAGAGATGTTTATGCCCTGTCCACCACCCATAATGACACCATGGTTGAAATTAATGGAAGATGAGGTCCCATCCGAAAGCCAGAGTGTATCCACAATTATAATCGATACATGGGGGGGTGGATTTAAAGATCAGATGTTGCAGCCCTATTTATCAGCAAGAAAGTCCCTCTTCTGGTACAAAAAAGTTGCAATATACTTTTTCCACATGGCAATTTTTAATGCATACATCTCCGGTCAAAAGTCAATGTGAGACCTACCACCTTCCTCGAATTTATAGAAGATGTCATCTCTGCCCTAATCTATCAGCAAGGATCTCCACCACAAAGCATTCGCTCCGATTGTGTCAGCAGACTTCATGAACGCCATTTCCCTGAGAACATTTCACCATCAGAAACAGGAAGAAGACACCAAAAAAATGTAGGGTATGCAACAGAGGGAGAGTTAGGAGAGACACCAGTTTTCATTGTCCCTAATGTCCATCCCAACCAGGCCTATGCATTGGAGACTGCTTCAGACATTGTCACACATTAGTAAAATATAAGTTCCCCATATTTTTAACAGCTTGCAGTTTCCCCATTTTTATTATCTGTGCTGACCTGTTGCCTGCTGCCTTGATTGACCATGCCTCTGCCTTCCACCTTAACTTACATTGGCCTGTTTACCAACTATGCCTCTGCTTGCCGTCTGAATTGTTTCTAAACCACACTTCTGCCTTCCACTGGAACTGACCCTGGCCTGTTTATCGGCTATATATATGCCTGCCGTCTGGATTATCAACCACGTTTATGCCTTCTACCTGGACTGACCTTGGCCTGTTAAATTGACAATGTTTATTGCCTGCTGCTTGAATTGATCTTTTACGCTGCTAATGTAGTAGTAGGATTGAAGATAACACAGGGGCTTCAGAGTAGAGAAAAAACAGTTTTTCATTTTCTCTGGGTTTTGTAATTTCTGGAACAGGGTCTGTTTGTCCGGAGGCTTCAAAGAGATTGGGTTGGATGAAACCTCTACCCCTGTGGCCTGGTCTTACCTGACCAAGGTCCTAAGCCTGATGTTCCTGCCTGTTGCCTGGACCAATACTTTGGCTGCGTTGACCATATCTCCTTTGCTACCTGTACTGACCCAAGACTTTTTTGGACCATGTTCCTGCCTGCTGCCTGGACCAATACTTTGGCTGTGTTGACCATATGTCTGCCTGCTGCCTGTACTGACCCAGGACTTTTTATGGACCATGTTCCTGCCTGTTGCCTGGACCAGTACTTTGACTGTGCTGACCATATCTCCTTTTGCTACCTGTACTGACCCAAGACTTTTTCGGACCATGTTCCTGCCTGCTGCCTGGACTAATACTTCAGCTGTGCTGACCATATCTCTGCCTGCTGCCTGTACTGACCCATTACTTTTTATGGACCATGTTTATGCCTTCTGCCTGGATCTCAACCTGCTGCCTGTTCTGACCCTGATTTGTTTATCCACCATATTCCTGCCTGCTGCCTGGGCGATTTCTGTGGCTGTTGCCTGTTTCCTGGTCCAATGCTCTCCTAAAACCACAGATAATCTTTTGCCTATCCTTTTTTTAGCTAATCTGTGAAAAAAATCTCAAATGTGGTATTGTCATGTTCAGGAGGAATAGCAAAATGTATTTTTGAGTATAGAAGAAATATCCTATAAATTGACAACTTTGTGTGAAAAATAATTTTTCATTTTCTTTTAAAATTTTCCAGTGGACTGTTTTCTTTCCAACATGTGGTCATTTTGTTTGTTTTTCCATTGTCCTGGTGCCTTCAAAACTTAGGAAATTAGATGTGTAGTTTATGCCCCTTTTATGCTCCTAGAATGTGTGAAGGTGCTACTTGGATGTTGGGTCTCTGTATGTGGCCAGGCTGTGGAAAAGTCTCACACATACTCAGAAGGAGTAGCAGAATGCATTTTGGGGCATAATTCTTGGTATGTACATGCTGTGTGTTAGAAATATCTTAGAAATTTACAACTTTGTGTAAAAAAAAGTTTTCCTTTTTCTTTCCACATTTTCTAAAACTTTTGGAAAAAAATAACATGTTCAAAAGACTCATTATGCCTGATAAAATATACCTTGGGATATTTTCTTTCCAAAATGGGGTCATTTTGTGGGTGTTTCCATCATCCTGGTGCTCCAGGGCCTTCAGAACTGTGATAGGTAGCCAGGAAATTAGTAATTTATGCCCCCTTTATGCTACTAGAGCGTGTGAAGATGTTACTTGAATGTTTAGTCTCTGTATGTGGCCAGGTTGTGGAAATGTCTCACACATGTGATATCACAACACTCAGGAAGAGTAGCAAAATGTGTTTTTGGGTGCAATTGCAATGATGTCTATGCCAGGTGTGAGAAATGACAAAAATAAAAAAAAGTTGTAAAAAATTACAACTTAAAAAAATCACCATGTCTTTTACTAAATACCTTGGACTGTCTATTTTCCAAAAAGGGTTTTTTAGGGGCTATTTGTACTTTCCTAGCATGTTAGGGCCTCAAGAAATGAAATAGGCCCTCGGTGCTTCAGGTGTACTAAATGTTTAATGCTTGGTGCCATAGCTTGTAGACTCTATAACTTTCTCACAGACTAAATAATATACACTGATTTGGATTATTTTTACCAAAGTTATATAGCAGTATACATTTTTGCCTAAATTTATGAAGAAAAGTTTTTTATTTGCAAAATTGTATAATAGAAACAAAGAAAACGTATTTGTTTTCTAAATTTTGGGTCTTTTTTCATTTATAGTGCAATAAATAAAAACCCAGTGGTGATTAATTATCACCAAAGGAAAGCTCTATTTGTGTGAAAAAAATGATTAAAATTTCATATGGGTATAATGTTGCATGACCGCGCAATTGTCATTCAAAGTGCGACAGCTCTAAAAGCTGAAAATTGGCCTTGGCAGGAGGGGGGTAAAAGTGCCCGGTATGGAAGTGGTTAAACTTCTTATAATATCTTATAGTGTACCCATCTGGTCCTGGGCTTTTCCCTGCTTGTGTACTCCTAAGAGCTTCAAGCATCTCTTCTTGTGTTATTGGACTATCTAACATTGCCAGTCTTTCTTCCTATAATTTACGTAGTGCAGCTGTCTCTAAATATGTCTGGATCTTTTCATTTCTATCTTCCTCCAATTCTCTTGGCTTCTTTGAGGTCACTGCATAAAGGGAACTATACTATTTTTAGAATACACTTGCAATTAATTTATTTGAATATACTATTTTTCCTGATCTATCTCTGATGTTTTCTATATAATCCATTGATTTCTTCCTCCTTACCCTCCTTGCCAATTATTTCCCAGATTTATTTCCTCACTGATATCTTTCTTTTAACGCCAAATTAAAAGCAATATTTGTCTCCTGTTCCATTAGGTTACTTAGTTCTGCTCTTTTTAATATTAGCTACTGGTATATTACAGTTTCCATCCCTTTTTTATGTATTTTCTCTAATTCATGTAATTCTTCTATTACTGTATTTATCTTTTCCCATTGTTTTTTCTTCTTTTCTTTCCCTATGGAAATCAGGATACCCCATATTATGAGCTTCCTAAACCATAGCAATCAAGATTCTTCCATTTCATTTGATTGAAAGTAATGCTCTATTTCTTTTTGTATTCCTACTTACACCTCCTGATCATGTATAAGTATTTCATTTAATTTCCATACAGCTTTTATTTTGTTAATTCCTCACTTTCAACCTTATTGTAACCGGTGCATGATCTGACAGTGATGTAACTTCTATATTGGATTTGATCAATGGCTCCAACAATCTATGTTCTATCATTATATAATCCAATCTAGAATATGTTGCATGTACTGAGGAATAGAACGTATAGTCCTTTACAGCTAAATGTTTTATTCTCCATACATCTACCATTTGGTATTGATGTAATTTCTTTTTTATTTGTCTTAAACCCTTACCTCCATCCCTCCATACTTGTGATGATGAATCTAGCTTATGATCTATACAAAAGTTGAAATCCCCTGCCATAATCAATTTGTCTTTCTTAAGATCTATCAACTTCCTAATATATCTTCCAAATACCTAATTGGGTTCTTATTTGGCCTGTAAATATTTGCAAGTGTACATTCCATTTCATATAATTTCCCCCTTAGAACTAAAAATCTTCCTTCTGGATCCACCATTCTAGTACAGGAAGTGACCAGACACTGCGGACACAGTACAGTGACAGGAGATGACCAGAGACTGCAGACAGTACAAGAGATGACCAAAGACTGTGGACACAGTACAGGAGAAGGACCAGAGACTGCGGACATAGTACAGGAGATGACCAGAGACTGCGGACACAGTACAAGAGATGGACCAGAGACTGCAGACATAGTACAGGAGATGACCAGAGACTGCGGACATACTACAGGAGATGACCAGAGACTGCGGACATAGTACAGGAGATGACCAGAGACTGCGGACACAGTACAGGAGATGGACCAGCGACTGCAAACATAGTACAGGAGATGACCAGAGACTGCGGACATACTACAGGAGATGACCCGAGAGTGCGGACATAGTACAGGAGATGGATCAGAGACTGTGGACACAGTACAGGAGATGACCAGAGACTGCAGACAGTACAGGGGATGACCAGAGACTGCGGACAGAACAGGGGATGACCAGAGACTGCGGACAGTACAGGGGATGACCAGAGACTGCGGACAGTACTGTCAGGGAACGAGGAGCCAGACACACAAGGAGGTGCAATTAAAGGTAGGTTTATTAATATAAAAATAAGACAAGCGTCTATGCAAGTCCAACAGTGGAAATCGTAGCCAAATCTGGGGTCAAGAGCCAGGAAGAATCGTCGCCAGAGCCGGGATCAGGAGCCAGGAAGAATCGTCGCCAGAGCTGGGATCAGGAGCCAGGAAGAATGGTCACCAGACTGGGATCAGGAGCCAGGAGGAATCTTAGCCAAAGCCGAGTCGGTATCCAGGAAAGCAATGAGTAGCTAAACAGGAGCTTGCTGTTGTGCAACAGACAGGACACGAATGCAATGGACAGCCACAAACAGCAGACTTATATGTGATAAGCCCCCACCTCCTGGGGGAGGAGACGCAGAGGGCTGAAAGTATAAAGGATCCCACAACATTGCAGACACCTAAGATGGATGCCAGCACATGGAGCAGCACAAGGTCTGAGGAAAGGTAGGACCTTGACAAGTACAGGGGATGACCAGAGACTGCGGACAGTACAGGGGATGACCAGAGACTGCGGACAGTACAGGGGATGACCAGAGACTGTGGACAGTACAGGGGATGACCAGAGACTGCAGACAGTACAGGGCATGACCAGACACTGTGGACCTTAGGGAGGGAGGGGGAGTGGGTACCTGAATTTGACAGGTACCCGCTCCCACTTTCGCGGAGTTCTCCTTCCTATACTGTGGGCACCCAACTTTGACAGCCGGGTGCCCACTGCGCATGCGCAAGAAGCGCTGTACTTTGTGAATGGCCCGGCGTCTTTTGGGACCTGTCATGTGTCCCAGAAGACACCGGACCATTCACAAAGCGCAGTGCTTCTCGCTCATGCGCAGTGGGCACCTGGTTGTCACAGATGCCGGGGCGGGAAGAAGCTGGCGCTGGTAGACTACAGCGCTGGACTGAGGAACAGGTGAGTTCCTGCCGCAGAGAACAGCTGAGCGGCCAGCCTGGTATTCTGACATGATGGTGGCGGAAATAGCGTACGGGTCACTTTATATTTGCTCCATAAGACGCACTGACATTTTCCCCCCTTTTTTTGGGGGAAAAAAGTGCATCTTATTGAGCGAAAAAATATGGTATCTTCTCTTCCTCCATCCCTTTTCCTTTTCTTTTCCTTTTTTAGATATGATATATCTGAACTGGCAGAAAACTATTAGACTAATATCCTTACCTCTGCCCTCCCTCCCATCAACATCTGTCAGTGTACAGTGCACAAAAACATCTGTCACAAAACAAATAAATAATAAAAAAATGTAAAGTACCTCCATCCCCCTTGGCTCACGTGCAAAGGCGAACGCACACATTGGTCTCATACGCATACGTAAACAGCGATCACACCACACATGTCAATGTGTGGTGTGAGCAATAATTCTAGCACCTGACCTCCTCTGTAACTCTAAAGGCTAATAAAGCGTCACTTATGGAGATTTTTAAATACTGTAGTTTGGCACCATTCCATAAGCGTGCGCAATTTTATAGTGTGACTTGTTTGGTATCTATTTACTTGGTGCAACACCATATTTTCTATGTTATCAAAAATGTGGGTATTATATTGTTTGTGTGCATCAAAATTCTTTAACTGCTCCTCACCTGGCCACTGCACATAAACGCCCAGGTGGCATCTTCGCCGTTCTGAGTGGATGTTCATGTACGTCCCTCAGAATGTGGCCACACAGCGCAACGCTGCTCGGCAGAAGGGTTCTCTGATTGGCCCTTCTGATCACATAATACTGTAGCTGTTTCCAATCACAGCCATCATGTGATGTCAACAAAGCCACCAGTCAGTTGACCGGCTCTGCCTCTCCTCACACAGAGCCCACTAGTAAGCTGAAGCAGAACCGATCTGTGTAAAACACACACACATCACCCCATAGTGTCCCCTTACACAGCTGTCAGTGCACCAGTTATCAACATCTGTCACACAGTGCCAGTGATCAAAGTCTGTCACACAGTACCATTGATTCACATCTTTCACGGTGTACCAGCGTAAATTCCACATCTGTACATGTGATCCACATTTGTCATGGCATACCAGTGTAAATTCCACATCTGTACTAGTAATCCACATCTGTCATAACGTTCCAGTGTAAATTCCACAACTGTACCAGTGATCCACCTCTGTCATGGCTTACCAATGTATAATCCACATCTGTACCAGTGATTCACATCTATCACAGTGTACCAGTGTAAAGTCCACATCTGTGCCAGTGATCCACATATGTCACAACATACCAGTGTAAATTCCACATTTGTAACAGTGATCCACATCTGCCACAGTGTACCAGTGCTCATCTACTTCTGTACCAGTGATCAACATCTGCCATGGCCTGCTAGTGTCAAATCCACATCTGTCAGTTTACCAGTGCTCAATATCTCTCACACAGTACTAGTGTAAAACCAACATCAGTAACAGTGAATAACATCTGTTACAGTGTACCAAAGTACAATCCACATCTGTACCAGTGATCAATATCTGTCACAGAGTATCAGTGTGAAATCCATATCTGTACCAGTGATAAATATCTGTCACAGAGTATCAGTGTGAAATCCATATCTGTACCAGTGATAAACATCTGTACCAGTGAACATCAAAATCAACATCAGCATTGCAGCATAAACATGTCTAAAAACGTATACACCAGCAAGGAGGTATTCCAGATACTGAGTATGACGGATGGGAGTATCGGGGATCTCTCTCTGTCAAACTCAGATTCTGAGTATGAGCCAGTTGAAAGCAGTGGGTCAGCAACAGATTCTGAGGAGGAGAGAGTCCAAACAAAGAGGTTCAGGAGATCTTAGGAGAATCAGGCACCTACCAGTAGAGCAGTGGTGAGTACAAACAATGCAGCACTCCTAGAAGATAGCAGAAGAATGTATTTTTGTGTGTAATTTTGGGTATGTACATGTTATGTGTTAGAAATATCTTATAAATGGACAACTTTGTGTAAAAAAAAAAAAAAAAAAAATTATTTTCTTTCCACATTTTCTGAAAACTTGTGGAAAAAAATGACATGTTCACAAGACTCATTATTTCTCATAGAATATACATTGGGGTGTTTGCCTTCCAAAATGGGATAATTTTGTGGGTAATTCCATTGTCCTGGTGCTCCAGGGCCTTCAAAAATGTGATAGGTAGTCAGGATATGAGATGTGTCATTTATGCCTCCAGAACGCCTGTGGGTACTCTTTGGATGTTGGGCCTCTGTATGTGGCTAGGCTGTGGAAAAGTCTTACACATGTGGTATACCCATACTCAGGAGGAGTAGCAGAATGTGCTTTGGGATGAAGTTGCCAGCATGCATATGCTGTGTGAGGAATAACCTGTTAATTTAACAATTGTGTGAAAAAAAAAATTATTTACTTTCTTCCTTTTCCAAAGACTTGTGGGAAAAAAATTACAGGTTAAAAAAAACTCACCATGCATCTTACTAAATACATTGGAATGTCTACTTTCCAAAAAGGGGTCATTTTGGGGGCATTTGTAGTGTCCTGGCTTGTTAGTGTCTCAAGAAATGAGATAGGCCATCAGTATATCAGGTTTGATCAGGTGTGACCAATTTTCAATGATTGGTACCATAGCTTGTAGACTTTATAACTTTCACACAGACCAAATAATACACACCAATTGGGATTATTTTTACCAAAGTATCAGTATACATTTTGGTCCAAATTTATGAAGAAAAATGACTTATTTGCAAAATTGTATAGCAGAAATTAAGAAAAATTTGTTTTTTTTTTTACTTTTCCTATTTTTTAATTTATAGCACAAAAAATAAAAAACCCAGTGCTAATTAAATACCACCAAAAGAAAGCTCTAATTGTGTAAAAAAAAAAAAAAGGAAAACATTTCATTTGGGTACAGTGTTGCATGACTGAGTAATTATCATTCAAAGTGTGAAAGTGCTGAAAGCTGAAAATTGGTCTGAGCAGAAGGGGGTAAAAGTGCCCTGTATTGAGGTGGTTAAATCTTCTCCTTGGGGTTCCTCAGGTAACCCCCTGATATTCATGTTGTTCCTTCTATTTCTGTTTTCCTGATCTTCTATCTTATATAGCAATTTCCTCTGTTCACTTCGCATTTGCTCCATTTGCCCCTTTAATTCAGATATTGCTTGTGCATGTTTATCCAATTTGTCTTCTGTTTCTTCCACTCGAGCTAACTCCTGTCCTAGATCCTTATGCAGCATTGCCATATCATTCTTAATTGAGAGTTCTAGCTTTGCAAACATATCTGCCATATCAATCTTTGTAGGAATTTGTGAAATTTCTATCTGTCTTTTTCTCTGTTTTTTCTTTCCTCTACACATACTATATCTGGTCTTTCTTTACCTAGATTCAGATCCATGATCTCTATTGACTCTAGATTGGTCTCTGCTGCTATTTTCCATTTCTTGTCTACAGTTAGGTTCCCATTGTCTCTTCAGAGATAACCCCTGGGTTTTTCTACTGTGGGGGCCCATAGTAGTTTTGGGTGTCTTAACCCCTCCTCCTGTTGCTGTTTTGTTCTTTATAGTTGTTTTCCCTCTTTATGTTTAATCTTCTTTCAACTTTTCAACAAGGGGTTAAGTAAATATATTAAGGGGATTGTTGGGTATACACAGAGGTGTAATTACCACAAGGCAAACAAGGCATTTGCCTAGGGCTGCATTTTTCAGGGGGCGGCAGCAGCATGTTTCAGGGGGGCAGTGCCGCCCCTCGAAAGAAGGGATGGAAGAAAGGACACACACAGCACGGGGACCAGGTGGGATCTGAGAGAGATTGCGGGCTGCTTGATGGTTTATGCAGAGCCTGACTCTTGTTCCCGGGGATTTCCAGAGCTGTGAAGGTGATTGTCTTATCTCCTCCCAGGGTGGGGGGGCTGTGTCAGTGTATGGGGGGCGGTGGTAGTGGAAGGCTCTCTCGGGTGGGGGCGGGAGGGTGAGGTGTTGTTGGTCAATGTCAGGCTCTCTTCATGGGGGAGGGAGGTGTTGGTCAGTGCCAGGGTCTCTCCGTGGGGGGAGCCAATTTCTGTGTTGCCTAGGGCAGCACAAAACCTAAATACACCACTGGGTATACAGGTACAGAAATGTAAGTATACAGAAATGCAATTACTCCCCCACACTTGGTATCCTTTCTTCCTTTTTACTCTTTTCCCCTCTTAAATCCACTGGCTTGTCCCTGTGTCACTTTCACCCATAGACTCCTAAGTACTGCTTCTTTCAGCCACTTTTTACCTTCCTTTTTAATAAACAACAGTTTTCACAAAACGCATATTGTCACGTAAAACATTATTTATCCTGTTGTTTAAGTGTGGGCACTCACCATTCTCCAACACTTGAAAGTCCTACTTTTCCTTTTTCATACTTGTCCCCCACTATAATGTACAGCACCGAGCAAACCTTTTGGCGCTATATAAATACTGTATAATAATAATAATACTAATACGTTTCAGCCCACATAGCTTCTCAGTGACCATCTGTAATACTTATTTTAGCTTATGGGTGACCAAGAGTGACCAGTTATAATCAGGAATATTGGTTTTCAACTCCTTGGATCCTCTCTCTACTTCACTGCTCCTCTCCCAGGAAGTTGCTCTGCAGAGTTGGTCTCAAAGGACCTCTTCTGACAGTGCTCCGTTCAGGGGGGGCCTTATTCCCCCAATCAGTGCCCAGGGCTTCCGCTGCACTCGCTCTCTCTCAGGTTCACTGCACCCAGCAGCCCCGGTGACCACAGCTCACGATCCCGGATCTCTCCTTGTTCTCTCCGCTCCAGGTGCCGGGTCACCATGCCTCCTCTGTCAGTAGCACATCTGGCTTGTGCAACCTGCAAACTGCTCCACAGCCACTGTCACCTCACACTGGGTTCCATCCAACAGTTTAAGTTCACAGACTCGCCCCCGGGAACCCAGCATGTCCAAGCTCCTCCAGCACAGCTCCCTGGTCAAAGAAGAAATAAAAAGGGATTCAAAGAGAGCAGGAGGTGTCTCTCCTATCTATTTTCTTCAGCGCTCACTGGAGCTTCTAGAACACGCCAGTCAGTGCCATGTTCAGGCCCCTCTTCTGTGTATATTTCTGATAGGAGAGAGGGATAAGTTAAGTATTAGAATGCATGAAGGTAAAAAACCTTCAGCCTTTACAATTGCTTTAATGGACACCAAATTTGGGAAGGTTTTCATGGTCACATTCTAATATGTCCCAGATTTTGGCCGTGAAAGTAGCAAGAGCATTGGGGTGGCAAGTATCAGCCATGCATTCCAAATTGTAAGATAGAAGGGCAAGATAATTCTTAGGAATGTTTCCTATAGTCAACTGAGGGCCAAGCAGGACCTGCTGGTTTTGGGTTGATGTAACAGCCTTCTTGGATCAAACCTCGTAAGCACCGCATGTGCCCCGTTGCAGCACAATCTGTCATCAGCTGTGTCCAGTGGACACAGAGGATGACAAATCAGTGTACCAGGCAGCTGCCAGTACCATGTGATCACTATGACCAATCATAGCAGATCACATGACAACTGTACACAATTAATAGCTTCCATTCATAGGCTTTTTTATGTATAGTATTGTGTTGATCTCTGTGATTTATCACAGTGATCACATGGTACCGACAGGGCCAATCACAGTGCAGCTGTGGCAAATTACAGCTTCACAATAGTACAGAATGCATTTAATAGATGCCATTCATAAAAAAGGATTGCTTGTAACAGTTATTATCACTGTTATAAGCAATCATAGTGTGTAAAGAAAAAAATTCCTGATCACCTCCCCCACCTCCCTCACTATACTGCTCTGGTCTCACTATTTAAGAAATGTGTAAAATAAAAAAAGTATCAAAATATAAACAAATGTTTAACCGCTTCCCGCCCATCCTATGGCCAGATGGCGGCTGAAAAAAACACCCTGTCCCTCTGGGTGGATGCCATATGGCGTCCTTTCAGGCATGCGCAGTTTGCCTGCCCGCAGAGCCGCGCAGCAGCGCGATCTGTCACCGCCCGTGTACCTCAGACACAGCCGATGACAGATCTGAGTACCGGCCCCATTGCCAGTACTATGTGACCTGTTGTGACCAATCACAACAGGTCACATGACAGTTGTATACAATGAATAGCTTCCTGTCATGCCATCCATTGTATACAAGTGTGGCTAGCTGTGAATGGTCACAGCGATCACATGCACAAGCTGGGCCAATCACAGCCCAGCTGTGTCATGTGATTAGCCGTGGCCAAATCACAGTTAAGAAAAAAACAAATCCTAAATGAATCAATTTCATTCAGGTAAATGCTTGCTTATAGCAAAGTAATTCTTTGCTATAAGCAAATTGTGTAAAAAAATAAATAAAATTACTAATCACTTCCCCAAAGTAGTACAATGTTACTATGGTAACATTATACTACATTGGTCATAGTGAAATATGAACAATAATCTTAAAAAAAGAGAAAAAATGTAATAAAAATAATTAAAAACTGTACTGTCACCAGTCAGTGTCCCTAATCACCACCATGCCAGTTATATGATGACACTGTACTGCACTGTTGACAGTATGTAAAAAAAAAAAATTGTGAAAATCATTTTTTTATTTCTCCATTTCCGAAAAATTATGAAAAAAAAATTACAACTTCAAAAAACTCCCCATGCCTGTTATGAAATACGTCGGACTGTCTACTTTGCAAAAATGGGTCATTTGGGGGATATCTGTACTGTTCTGACATTCTTGGACCTCAAGAAATTAGATTGGCTGTCAGTACTTCAGGATTGATCAATTTTCAGATATGTACCATAGTTTGTGAACTCTATAACTTTCCTACAAACTAAATAATAAATACTAATTTGGGTTATTTTCACCAAAGACATGTAGTAGAATACATTTTGGCCTAAATTTATGAAGAACAATTATTTATTTGCAAACTTGTATAACGGAAACAAAGAAAAATGTGTTTTTTTTTCAAAATTTTCGGTCTTTTTTGTTAATTTAGCAAAAAATAAAAAACCCCAGTGTTGATTAAATACCACCAAAAGAAAGGTCTATTTGTGTGAAGAAAATGATAAAATTTTTGTTTGGGTACAATGTATGACCGTGCAATTGTCATTCAAAGTGTGAGAGTGCTGAAACCTAAAAATTGGCCTGGGCAGGAAGGGGGTAAAAGTGCCCTGTATGGACGTGGTTAAACAAATTTAAAAAAATTACTTTTTTTTTTACATACTGTCACCAGTTAGTGTGTCTCCAGTTAGTGTCCCTGATCACCACCACACCAGTCACATGATGACACTGTACTGCACTGGTGTCAGTATGTAAAAAAAAATGTGAAAATAAACTATTCTTTTTTTATTTCCCCATTTTACAAAAAATTGTGGCAAAAAATTTCAACCTCAACAAAACTCACCTTTTTTCTTACTAAATACCTTGGACTGTCTACTTTCCAAAAAGTGGTCATTTGGGGGGTGTTTGTACTGTCTTGGCTTTTTTGGGCCTCAAGAAATGAGATAGGCCATTAGTACATCAAGACTGATCAGTTTCCAAAAATATATCCCATAGTTTGTAGACGTTATAACTTTCCTACAGACAAAACATGCTCCGATTTGGTTTATTTTTACTAAAGAAATGTAGCAAAATACATTTTGGTCTAAATGTATGAAGAAAGATTATTTATTTGCAAAATTTTATAACATAAACAAAGAAAAAAAAATATTTTTTTAAAATGTTTGGTCTTTTTTTGTTTTATTTAACAAAAAATAAAAAACCCAGAGGGGGTTAAATACCAGCAAACGAATGCTACAAATTTCATGTGAGTACAGTGTTGCATGACTGAATAATTGTCATTCAAATTGTAAAGAAAATATTATTAAACACAGTGCTTTACCATCAGTGGTGCAATAGTACGGATCCTAATTAGCAGTCATCACCGTAATGCTGCTTCTCACTCTTCCCAAGATTCAGCTGCCATGCCGGTCAGGCTTTGGGCGCATGGTTAGATGGAGTCATGTGAATCACTGGTGACATCAGTTATTGTGTGAGCACTGTGCCATTGAAGACATGACTAGGTGATGGAATGTCCTGCCAGGAGCGCTGTAAGATGCAATATAATTACTGACTGGGACCATGTGGAAAGCAATGAGTTATCACAGCCCACTCCCCACGTGGACTATTGTTTGGAAGGGTTGAACCGAGACTTGTAATGAGGGTGGAAACTGTTACACTAAATACTGTCACAAGAATACTTGGCTATCTATGGCCTGCTCTATTGCTTGTATCTTTTAAGAGCTTTCTATCTATGTTACCATCTTGCTTGCTATTACCTGATCTGCTGCTTTTGCCTATGCCTTGTCTTAATATGGCCATTCATTGGAGGAACAGCCAGGACTTACCGCACATATAAACTACTTCTAATATAGTACTGGCTGTGGACTAAGTCTTCATGTGGAATAATGTTATACCATCCAACAGTATACTGATATCTTAACCATATTTTTGGAGCAAACCTCATAGCTTTCCCACAATGTCATCTGAGAGGTGTTTCATTTGTCTTTCTTGCTGTCTATATGCCAAGAATTCCATAATGGTATCATTATTATTATTATTATTATACAGTATTTATAAAGCTCCAATGGTTCGCTCAGTGCTGTACATTACAAAGGGGGACTGAACATGTGACAGAACAATAACAATACAATGCAAAACATGAGGGGATCGAGGGCCCTGCTCTTTCAAGCTTACAATCTAGGAGGGAGGGGATGGTGGTACAGGAGGAGATAGCTGTGGGGGAAGGAGTGGTAGAAAGAGTGGAGGAGGTCGGCAGCAGTTAGGAGGGGGTGGTGTAGGCTTCCCTGAAGAGGTGGGTTTTCAGGGTGCGCCTAAAGGAGAGGAGAGTAGGTGATAATCTGATGGGTTGGGTCCTTATATTGTGGGTCTAAGAGCAGGCTTACTTGGAGGTATCTATTTTCCTATTAAAATCACATTATCACACCAGAAACCCAGCATAGCACACCTAGAGCATGTCTGTGCTGGCTGACAATGTAGTCAGCATAAAATATGAAAGCAAAAGGACATCTTCAAAGATAAGTGTGCCTATTCATTATGTAGTGTACTTAAGGAGCAGATACTGCAAGCTGCATGTTATTTTTAGACAAGATTCATTTGTGTTTCTCTTTCTCAAGATAAGTTTATCTAGGTTTCATTTCACTGCTTCTTTTCCTCTATTAGTAGCCATTTTTCTATGCATGATTTACTTTTTTTCAAGAGTACATAAAAGTGAAGGTTTAATTTTTGAAGGTTTATTAATTGTTGGGTGTTATGTAAATTAGTGTCTAACTTTAGTGGTTAGTGTTGCCTCCCTGGCGGTATTCCCGAGTGTAGCTCGGGGTAAAGTTTCAGTACCACAAGCGGTAACCCCGAGCTACATTTGGACTTACCATGTGGTGCTGCTCTGGGATCTGTTCTTCACTTACCTTGTCCTTCTCTCCTGCGATGTCCCTCCTGCAGTGTGTCCGGCAATGTCCTCTGGCAGATGCCGGCATCTGTCATCTGGGTTCCGTCCCCTGCGACGCCAGGACATATGGGGATGGAGCGGCCAGAAATTTGAAAATGACAAAAAGTGACATTCGCTAAATTCACTAAAATCACATAGTAAAACATTACTGTATCAAACCATTTCACATACATTTTGTCCCGAGTGTTTTGTCCTGTCTGCATTTTTACCGTTCTTTCTGCCTGTAAACTGAGAAACGTCCATGGCGTCCAAAAAGCGTCCCTTTTAGGTCAAAAGCGGTTTTAGACCAGCTAGAGAACAGCGATAGTAAATCAGAACTACTTGCAGAATTGAGTGATAATGATTCGTGGGGAAATTTGTCATCAGACACTGAAAACGATTTTGCGACTTTGCTCAGTGATGTGCGAACTTGGCACTATATTTCAAATTTCAGTGTTTTTGGTTTGATTATATTATTGAATTAAATGTATTATTATTATTATTATATTATAATTTTTTAGGATTATTTATTAAATTATAATTTATGATTTTGTGTTTCAAATTGTAACATACCCGAGATGTTTACTAGACTCTTGTTCGGACAGATATCAGTGAGTTATTCCTAAAAATTACAGGCCTACAATAAAAAAATACATATTTCCATGCAAAAAAATGTACCGCTTTGAGCACAGAAATATGGACATAATCAGACCGCTAGGGAGGTTAAGATTTGCAATCAAGGTGAAGGTAAGAGTTTAGTGCAAGTTAGTTGTATATATTAACAGTAAGTGTGTAAGAATAAGTGGATGGTAAGTACTACTACAAGGTATGTTAAGAATTAATGGTTTATTTTAGGTGTATTTATAAAAACATTGCATAGTAATTTGGCCATTGAAAGTGCATGATACTTATTGAGTGGCCATATTCAGTATTTTCCATTTTAAATCAAAGAAAAACTTTTTTTTATAAACACACTCATAGTGTAATAGTATGTAATGTTATGATGATTGAAAAAAAAAAAATTAAACAGTGGGCACATAATAGCTGCTAGATATGGCCAGTGTCCAGTAGTCATCATGCAAAATTGTGGGTGTACTGTATAAATTCTGAATGTGTAATCAGGATCCATTCTCAATTAACTGAAAATGGGCCTTTTTTTTTCCCAAGGGCAAATGTTTGGGTGTACTGTTCAAATTTTGACTGTGCAATCAGGACCCATTGTTTAGTGATTGAAAATTGACCTTTCTTTCGTGTCAATATAGTAGTAAATAAATTGAGGAAAAACTCAAAGTTTTCCCAATCCCTCCTTAAAGGTACAGTATGAAAAGTCTGTATCTCTGGAGTGAGTGCAGTCCTAACTTGTGAAAAGTCACTTGCACACAATTTTTCTTTAAAGAGGGATGTAGTAGTTTTTACAGAGCTTACTGCTTGCATCATGTTAGTGATATCCCAAGAATCTACACCTTTAAAAGTCATAAAGGATAGCTTCCATATTGTTATTCTCACAAGTCAATTTTAAATAAGGTCAATAATCTAAATAGACTGACTAACTTATTGCTTTAGGGAGAGGATACGTCTTTTTTAGTGTGTTGTCAAAATATTTAGAATGAAAATACAAGAGATCCTGCTCAGTTTGAGCTGCAAGTCTACTCAAAACAGAGAGATCATGAACACTGGGGTAAGTAATAAGTATTCTGCAGGCTTAAGTCACCTTTTATTTTATTTTTTTATTTTATTTTAAAAGTATTTCAATTAAAATTTATTAAGGTGCATGTGTGTTTGTGCAAATATGTTGGTGAAAAAAACTGTTTATTTGTAAGCTATAGGTCCACAAAGATTTAAAGTACAAAGAAAAGTATAAAAGCCATTGTATAACTATGTTCCCAGCATTTGGTATTGCCGTAATTCTTTATTTCTAATTGTGTATGCTTTGGGAGAATATATGCTCATTAAGGCAATGTTTTTTTCTTGGTAAACCAATTTTTTAGTTATCTGAAATAAAAAAAAATACATATATTCACATTTATTCTATGTATAAAAAAGTTCCTTGGAAATGTAAAGCTTAATCTAAGCAGAAACATAAATGTTTATAAAAAATTTTATAGCTTAATTTAAAAATATTGTAGTCTTGTTAGGAAATACTTTTTGTTATATTCAGCACCATTACAATGTTATAAAGTAATAAAAGCAAGAGAACATATCACATAGAAGGGATTAAAATGTGCCAACGGCTAATGTATTTGTGAAGACTTCTGGACACAAGGTAATGAATTTAAGTTGCCTCCAGATTCACATCTATGATTAACAGAAAGTGACCTGAGGCAGAAGTGTATTTTTATTTTGGGGTCTGGAACTATAATAACATTGGTTTACCAATACAGTCTTCCTGTAGAAATACCAAGAATAAAACACTTTGATGCTTATTTGCATGATTCTTTTCTGTTGGAGTGTTTTTTTTTCTTCTGAATTTGTGAAACTGTGTTAAATAATTTAAAAATCCATAGAAAAGGATTAGTCAATTTTAATATTAACAGTAATTCATCTGATGGAAATATTTAAATAAATGAATCAAATAGAGTGTATTGTTGTTGTATGCATATACCATGCTAGATGAAAGACAATTATTTTTTAGTTGCAAGAGCCAATGAAAGCTGATAATAAAAATTACATTTTTGAAAATAAAGATTTTTACAGTGGATATTGTATGTTATAGCTTAGCCAATCAAGATTTAGTTATATTACACTGTGCATAAGAAAAAATAAAAAAATCTAATAAATAAAATGTGTGCCAACATTTGATTAGCCAATACACAAACAAATGTACAGGAATTTGCACAATTTTTTAGTTTCTTTTGCATCACATAAACATGATAAAATGCTTTTTGCTGTTTGCAAAAGTGCAGCAAGTAAAGCTTAGAAACATAACTAAATATCTTAATTACATCTTTTATACAATTAATTCTGAAAACTTCCACATAACACTCATGTTTCAAACCAACATTAACAAAAAACAAATAGCTTGGCCATATGGGTTCGGCACTCTATAGTGTTTCATTCTGAGTTTTTTCTGAGCTATTTATCCACAGCAAACCAGTCAATATGTTGTGAAAGAAATCCAATTGTAAATCCCCAGAAGAGGAAACAGATGATTTTGTCTAGTTATACAAGGCAATGATTTACAAATATTCAAGTGTAACTTGTTAGGTAGAAAAGAAAGTCGCTTTTAATGAAATTGAACATACGGTATGTTAAAAAAATTCCCTTATAATATATCTGAGCATTAACAGCAGAACAAACAGCCAGAATCACAGAGGTCAATTTGTCAGGCATGTGATAAGGAAATATTGTGTATAATCTAGGCCATGCTCTACTGCATGTCTCCTTTCTCTTGGGATAAAGAAGGGAATAGCAGTACATCGATGTTAAAGGTGTTCATTATTTTCAACACTACATAAAATAGTAACCAAGTCAACATTTCTGCTGTTACTAAGTACATGGCAAGCACATAAACACTTTTTTTTCAATTTGCATTTTTTTTTTTCATTTTCAAATAATTGTACATAACAACAACATATGAAGACTTTAGGCAACCAAAAATAGTCATTTTTTTATTATCCAATCTTTCACCTGAAAAGTAAAGGTGATAAAATGTCCTTCATCATTGTTTCAGTATGTGACTTTTATATAGATGAGGGGTGACTCAGAAGAATGATCTATCAAACTTTGAGACCCAAGGACAAGAAACTCAGATGAGGTCTTGCAGATCCATGTCTGCAGTACAATCTTTTTGTGCTAGTACAGAAACACACATCTTAGATTTTGCCCTTAAGGATGGTCAATTAGTTGAAGTGAAGTCAAGGACAATTAATTTTCACACAAAAAACATGATTTTTAAATATTATTGCTTGAAAATTATGTAAATATTTCACAACATAAACTTTATAAATAATCATAAATAAATTATTGCATTTAAGCACTTGCCTGCCGGGCACTTTTACCCCTTCATGCCCAGTCCAATTTTCAGCTTTCAGTGCTGTCGCACTTTGAATTTCAATTGCGCGGTCATGCAATACTGTACCCAGCCAACATTTTTATAATTTTTTTGAGACAGATAGAGATTTATTTTGGTGGTATTTAATCAGCACAGTTTTTTTATTGTTTGCTAAATAAAATAAAAAAGACTGAACATTCTGGGAAATAAAAAGTTTTTTCTCAGTTTGTTATAACATTTTGTAAATAAGTACTTTTTCTTCTTCACTGATGTGCGCTAACGAGGCTGAAGTGATGGGCACTGATAGGCTGCACTGATGGGCACTGATAGGCGGCACTGATGAGGAGGCACTCATAGGCGGCACTGATTAGGCGGCACTGATGGGCATTGACAGGCATCACTGGTGGGCATTGACTGGCATCACTGTTGGGCAATGAAAGGCAGCACTCATATAAGGCACTGATAGATGGCACTGATAGGCAGCACTGATTGGAAATGTTAGGCGGCACTGATGGGAATTGATACGCGGCACTGATAGGCAGCACTGATAGGCATCACTGATAGGTGTCACTAACTGTCACTGATGGGCAGCACTGACTGGCACTGATAGTTGGCACTGATAGTTGGCACTGAAAGGCAGATCTGACGGGCACCGATATGTGGCATTGATGGGCACTGATATGTGGCATTGATGTGCACTGATGGGCACTGGTATGTGGTATTGATGGTCACTGACAAGTGGCAATTATGGACATTGAAAGGAAGCACTGATGGGGCTACACTGATAATCAGGGCACTAATGATCAGTGCCCTGACGATCAGTGAGTCCCCTCTGAGGAATGCTGCTGACTGGCTCTCCTCTCCTCATGCGCTGTCAGCGTGAGGAGAGGACTGCCAATAACTGGCATTTCCTATTTACATGATTGGACACAGCTGATCATATGATAGAGCCTGTGTCATCGGCTCTTTACTGCAATTGGTGATCCGCTGTGTCCCAGGGACAAAGCGCACCACCGAACGCCGCACTCCTTCAGGGGCGTGCATGCGCAGCCAGAGTGGGAAGATGTCATATGACGTCCTCCCAGAATGAGAGAGATGCCGCCCTCCCATCATTTCCTTGTATGGCGAGCAGGAGGCTGTTAAAGCTTTCATTGTACTAGTCATAGTTATAACTGTAATTAGTGAAATAGTGGATTTTTTTTAAGAGGCTCTTAATAGACAGTGTTCACTTCCTGTTATATTTCCCTGTTCCTTTGTACTGTGACATCATTTGACTGTATTCACACTAGCACGCAGTTAGGGATGAGTGAATCTGCCTGGCTTTGGTTTGAATGGATGTCATTGGCCACATTTGGTCCTTTTTTAGCTAATTTATATTTTTAACAATCTTCTCCTATTCTCCTTGGAGGCCTTAACAACTTTCTAATTGGTTTCTTAAGTTTTTTACTTGGTTTTGTAAAACAAATACTTCCTTTTCTTTTTTTAATGCTTGGAAGTTAAAGGTGTTTAGAGTTTCTTCTAGTATATGTATTTTTGCACGCATAGCCATGCAGGCAGCATACATTCCTAATATGACTAGACCTTTAAGTTTCTTAATATTTTTATTTTAGCTGTTCTTTAAATAACTCCTGAACATATGCCCAGGGAGTATCTTTCAATTCAGCATCACATGTAAATTCACTTGTCTTATGTTTAAGGGTGTAAGCTGCTAAAACCTACCTAAACTAGTCGTGGCAGTCATTGTTAACAGATTTTACACACCATTTACACATTGAGATAACAAAAGAAAAGAGAAAAAGGGAAGAAAAATGAATGACAACACACAATAAAACAAAACGTATGCTACAGTAGTCTAAAACTAGAATGTTCTGTACACACAAGGAGTTGAGATGTAAGACTGTAACCATAGTATCTTCCCTGAAAAGTTTGACTCTACACCCAAAAGGCAATAGAAGGAAGAGACAAAAACAATGGAGATACAGACATGACAGTTAATGATGGCCATGCACTGATAGATGTTGTTTGTTCAGCCTACCTGAATGAATGGATGAACACATCTAAAAAATCCCTCCTTCTGTGCTATACAGAATTGATGAATCTGTCATGCCAGCTTCTGTATTCTGACAGTGCTAGCCATTGTCAGGATACCCTAACAGCAGCTGTACCTGATTGGATGCAGCTGCTGTTTTGATGCAATTTTTTCACCAGACTTCTTCACTTTCTCTGTTAAAGAATGTCAGTTGAGAAGATGCCTGACAGGGCCAATGAAACAAATTTTGGCTGGACAAAATTTGCTCAGCATATGACCAACTAACCACCCAACAAACAATAGAAGAGGTGAACATCTAGACAAACAACTACACCAAAATATTTTAACAATGTACAGAGACACAAATAACTAATTTATTTTCAAAAATTGTATTTGCTTAAAAGAGCATCTTTAAAGTTCCTTTTTTCAAAAATGAGGACATGTGTATTACCAAAAATCCTAAACTCCTACCTCACAAATCCTTACATTCTGAAACTCCTAGGCTTTAATTTCATATACAAATAATGCATTTAGAAAAAAAAATCTAAAAAAAACAAAAAAAAAAATCTGTAAGACTATATACACTCATACACACTCATAACAACTAAGAAAAAATACAAGGAAAAAAAAAAACAACCAGAGGAAAAAAAAAATTCTCCTGTACTTTAAGATGAGTTTTCAATGCTTCTTCTAATAACTTTTCCATGTAATATTTTGGGAAATCTTTATTAAGAAAAAAAAAATGGGGGGGCATGCACAACTTCTGAAGATGGTGAACTTCTGCTAGACAAGCTCTGGTCCTGACCCACTCTCCGTGGTCTTTGCTCCACTTCTTACAGCTCTGACTGCATTGGGGGTAAGCACCTCTAACTCTTAGAACATCTGTGCACCACATGGGCAGAATAGGGTGGAAAAATTCCACCACCCTGCTGCCTTCAGAGTTGTGGCCTGCATACACTATGGAATAATTCCTCACTAGGACCACATCCTTAGCCTTGCTTGTACAGGAAGAACCAACAGAGCAGCTTGGCTTTTTCTTGGTGGAGGACTTAACAAGCCCCACTCCAACCATCAGTGTATCCTCAGCTCCTCAGTCTGTATTTTAGCAGGAGCTTCTAAATGAGAAGCTACAGGCCTTGCTGCACCAATTAACCCACAATACAGTATCTTTTATTTGGTGGATAAGATCTCACAGGAACTGACGGGGGAAATGTACTGTCTTGGAGGATGAACTGACACTTTAGAATCTAAGTTTGATGACCTGGTTCACTATGTCCATGTGTTGGAGGAAGAAAACTCTTCCCTTAAATTCACAGTCTCTCAACTTCAACTGCAACAAGAAGACTTGGAAAATAGGGTGCAGAGCCAAAATCTGTACATACGAGCGGTGCCCCTGATACTGTATAGCCAACATAGACTGGCTCCTTCACCAGGCCCATCATTCCTTGGCCCCTAAACCTCCAGCTGGAGCACAGCCTGGTGATGTAGTTGTCCGATTTCATTACTACAAAAGTAAGGGGGACCTTACTTTAGCAACTGGTAATAAGTCATAAATCAACTATCAGCTATAAAGGTGAGATAATTTAGATCTTCAGTGACCTTTCACCTATCACTCTTGCAAAAACAGCTCATCAGCAGAACCATTATATCTTCTACTACTAGGGCTTCCCATTTCACTTAAAGTGGTAGTGGCGGTACCGGTAGAGGTAGGTTTTTATTTTACCTACAGGTAAGCTTATAATAAAGCTTACCTGTAGGTAAAATGAATATCTCCTAAATGGGCACCTTTCCTAAAGCCAGCACATGCGCTCTGAAGGAATGGTATACCTTTGTTCCTTCAGCGCTGTGTACCGTGGCCCAGGACTCCCATGCGCACGCATGGCAGTGACATCATCTTGGCCAGTGGCATCTTTCTTGCGGTTTACTACCACTTTAGTTTCTAACAAAGATGGCATTCAGCATGTTCTCTAAGATCTTCATGAAGGGGAAGGCTTCCTGAAAAGCTTGGGTCTACCACCTTTACCAGAGGAAGATTTACCACTGCTTCCTTCCAAACTATAACCTTCACTTATCCCTTCTCGGATATGGACCCTGGCCAAGCCAAAGTCAAAAAATTCTTCTGTGACTTCACAACATAAACACTTCTCCAAGCAACCTCCTTGAATCTCCCCAATGGTGATTGAAGCTTAGTTCTTCCATGTTTTCATTTTTTTTTCTTGCCAGACCATTTGGACTATTTTCTGCCCAATCCAGATCCCAGTAAAGCCCAATGGGGTGAAGTTTCTTCTTTTTTGGACTGAGAAGGTTAAAGAAACATGATAGTGCACACTTTGTATTGCTGGAGAGTGGTGAGGGACCTCAATTCCCATTTTTGGAGGTCCTCATGTCTCCCCCTACCTCCTGAGGATACAGCCTTGGATTCCTGAGAAGTGGCTGCCTCTCAGGCCTTTTATTTATCTTTTACATCTTTTCATGCCCTTTCTGGTCTTCCATTTTTGTATCTCTGACTGTTATGCTTTCATTATGTTTTAATTCTATTTTCGTTTTATGTTACAATCTTTGGTATACTTGCTATGAGAAATCTTGGGACCCCGCTCTATACACCTGGGGAGGTCTTCTTACCATGTTATGCTTACCTGTGCTGTTTATTGACTTGGGATTATGGCTTTAAAAATAATGTCCTACAATGTGAAAGGTTTAAATTCCATCAAGAAATGCTGGCTAGCACTGAAAGAGTTCAAGAATTCTGGAGCTGATGTGGTCCTAGTTCAAGAAATGCTTTTCTGCCCTGGGGGTTGATTTAAACTTGCCTCAAGACAATTCCCTACCTCAGATTCCTCTGGAAAGGCTGGGGTGATAATTTTGATCAGACGCTCTTGCCTTTTTCGAGTGAAATCCTCTCCTTTAGACCTCCCATGGGCAATTTCTGATCCTGTCCTGCGACTACATGTCTTCCTCCTTCACTCACATGGATGTCTATGCTTGAAATGTCAGGTTAAATTGCTCACTTCAGTTTTTGAGGTATTACATTTTCTCAACCTATCATGATTGTTGGCAGAGATTTTAATGCAGTGTTCTCCCTTACGAGAGATAGGCAGACCTTGTTCCACTCTACTCCCTTTAACTAGGTGTATGCTCTTTTCACCTTTCACAAGCTCCTTCACTCTAACCTCCTCTTAGATTTTTTAGTGTACTAAACATCCCAGTGGCAAACAATTTACATTCTATTCCTCACCTCACAAAATGTATTCTAGTTTGGATTGTTTTTTTATTTCTGTCCCTCTCCTAACCAACATTGTGGCCTCTGAAATCAGACAGTCCACTTAGTCTGAGCCCCAGTATTTTTAGACCTCAACTTATCAGCTGCAGCCTCTAAAAAATGTCATTGACATTTAAATGAATCTTTTCTTAACCTTGACACTACTAAAGAACAGCTTTATCAAGACCTATTGGAATTTTTCCAACTTAACAAAAGGTTCTCTCTCGGGGGAGACCACTCTATGGGAAGCCCACAAGGCCTTTTCCAGAGGACAATGCATATCTATAGGGTCTTGCCTAAAGAGAGATGCCAACGCCTTGAGAAGTTCCTCGTTGAGCAAACTATGCCACTTAGAAAAACAATTTATACATTCTCCCAGTGTGACTCCGAGAGGTAACCTCCCTCCATAATCAGCTTAAATCCTTGAACAAGGTTGCTAAATCCCATCTATGTTCTAAACAAAAATTCTATAGGTATTCTAACAAACCCTATAGAATGTTAGTGAACAAATGTAAACCTCGCTGTTTGCATTCTTTTTCTGACTTTCTCACTTAACCAGACGGTACTCCAACATACTGTCCCCTATCAATGGCAAAGATTTTTGGCAATTATTACTAGGATTTTCTGACCCCCAAAAATAATTTATTTTTTAATCAGGAAACCTTTGACACCTTTTCCGC